CCCCGCTCCCAGCCCCTCACTCCTGCCCTGCAGCCCCCACCCCTGTGCCCCCACTCCCAGCCCCTCACTCCTGCCCTGCAGCCCCCCACCCCTCAGTGCCCCCGGTCCCAGCCTCTCACTCCCGCCCTGCAGCTCCTGCCTCCCCTAGACCTTCCGGTGCCCCCCACTCCCAGTCCGCACCTTTCTGGGCCCAGCAAGGAGTTTCTCCAGGCACTGATTCACCTCCTGGATCTTGGCCAGCAGGAGGCAGCTGTGGTCAGAGCCGGAGTCTCCCAAATAGTCCTGGGAGCAGAAGGCAGCGGAAACACTTGTCAGGGAGACCTGCAGGTGGAGAATACCTCCCCGGACAGGGTCTCCTTAACCACCACCCACCACATTAGGCTTCCCTACAACGTGCCCCCATCCCCCATTGATCCCTGTGGGAAACATGAGGCAGTCCACCCCACTCCACTACAATATAACAATGCAACATCCATTTCCTCTCCTCCTGTGTCAGAAATAATGGAACAATCCATGCCCCCAATAGCATCCATGTGCCCCTGTTTCTATTCATAATAAATCCCCATTGATACTATGACAAAAAGGGAACCTCCCAGCTCTCAATCCCTATTGACAGCAATGAAATCCTCCCCCCCAGCTAGCAATGGAACATTCCACCCATCCCCCCTACTTGGACAAGAATGGGTCACTCCTATTTCCCATTTCTCTTGATAACAATGGACCGATTCCCCATTAAGTGGATGCTCCTCCCATCCTACTAATAGGACATTCCACCCTCCTACTCCCATCATAACAGTGGGTGCTTCCCCGACTACCAATCCTAATGGAACATTCCACTCTCACCATTGATAACAGTGGATTGACACCCCCCATTGATGCCAAAGGACTCTCTTACTCCCACCCTTCCCCACCTAAATTAGCAGTGGACTAATTACTCCCCCCCTCCATTGATAACAGTGGACTGGTCCAATTTTTCCTTTTCCCACTGATAATGGAACCACCCCCTATAACAGCAATGGAACAGTCCACCCCCCAATTGATGGTAGAAGCATCCTACCCTCTCTTCCCCATTAGCAGTGAACCAGTTACTGCCCCCTCTTCTCCTCTGATAATTATGAGCTGACCCATCCTCCTCTTCCCCATTCCCCCGTACTGATAACGGAACCCCCTCATAATAGCAATGGGAGATTCCACGCACACACTATCCCATTGATAACAATGAACTGACCTATCCTCCCTTTCCCCTTCCCCCTTGATAACGGAACCCCCCACCCAAATATTCCACCTCCCTTCCCCATTGATAATGGAAGCCCCCCCAGCCTATAATAGTAATGGAACATTCTACAACACCCCCCCCGCCGCCCATTATTAACGGACGACCCTCCCACGCCTTCCCCATTGAGAAAATTGGCCCCACCCCGCCACATCAGCAATGGTCCGCCCAGCGTCCCAGGCCATGGGCG